GCAGCGCCGGCTGATGCAACCGGGGGGTGCGATGGTGTGGGCATGGAGGGAGGAGGGGTGAGGGGGATTTGGGCGGTGCGCCCCCGCCGGGTGCGTCGGGTCGGTTGTCGAGGTGGGCTTTTTGGGGGACCTCGTAGGAAAATGCCCCCAGTTCCCGCAGCAGCGCGCCGGGCTTTGGTTTTGGTGGCATTTTGAGGGCGAGCAGAGCTGCCGTCATGTGGCGGTGGCTCAGGTGAGGGGGTGCGCAGATGTGTGCCTGGAAAACACGTGTCCCTGGTCGCCCCCCGCCCGTCCCCGTCCCGGTTCTGCCTTGGACGGGATCGTTTGCGACGGCGTTGGATTGAGCTGGTCATTGGCTTCTGCAAGGGTAGGAGCTATCAAAAATCCATTCCAGGCTGTTCTCTGTTTGTCTTCCTTGCTGTGGGGGACAGACAGACGTATTTCAGGGGGTCTCCTCTTTGCCCAGCTGTGTGTCATCTGCACATGCAAAAGGTAACAGGAGACCTGGCTGCTACTTACCCAGAATTTTTTTTTCCAGAAAGCATTCCCAGTGCCTGGCTGTCACTGGTTTTTCCAAGAAGTAGTGGCAAACAGAGCTGCCTTGTCTCCCTTCTGCCACTGGGTTTTGAAAGGCATCCATGAAAGTGGCTGCTCTGCTGCTCATGGGGTTGGTGTAGCTTGTGTTGAGCTGTGGCAGCCCCAGCTGTAAAGGCCTCTGCATCTGTCACCTCCCTGGCCAAGGGTATGGAAGCAAAGGGTGCACTTGACCCAAGAGCTGGTCAGACAGCTCAGGGTGGTGGTTCCCTGCTGTGCTTCCCGTGGTGGGGCTGGACAGGCCTTCTCATGAAATTAGCACAGCCTAGCTATAAAGTTTTGGGCATGTCAGAGCGATGCCCCACATACCTATCGGAAAGAAAAAAAAAAAAAAAATTTGGCCTGTTAAGGTTTTCTGTACCTGCCTGCTGTACACCAGCCCTCAGTTCATATCCAGCCATAATTTTGGGGATTAAAAACATACGTGCCCGAGCATTTTTGTTATATTGATGACTAACACAGGTGTCTGCCGACTAATGTTGGGAGGGTTTATTTTGTTAAAGACTTGTTTGTCACTGTGTTGCAGCAAAGTCACTGAGAATGCAAAGAATTCCTTGGCCACTCTTAAGAGAGAAAACCCTTGTCTTGAGCCAACGCTTGCCATTATTCAGGTAAAGTATGTCTGTGCACTCACTGGCTGTGAGAGATCTCCTTTGGTACCATTACCTGTCTGAAACTTCATAAGCACACCACGCAGAAAGTAATTTTAATCCTTTTTTTTAATAAAAAACGGTGTCTGCTTTATTATAAAGCAAAGCAATAGGATGAGGTAGTTCTATCAGATGGTAGATTGCCCTTCTTCAGGCCTGGAACAGTCACAGCAAGCTTCAGACTGGGACAGCTTTGCAAAGGAAAGGAACAGTTTTATCCCTTCTTCCTTTTGCTAATGTAGTCTTCCCCATTTTAAGTATGGATCACTTTTTCTCACAGCTTGTCAAAGCCCTGTTGCTTCCTGTCAGACATGTTACCTTTGGTAACTACAGCTTATCAATGTCTTCCTGCTCTTCTGAGGAAAGGAAAACCACACTAAAAAGTCCCAGTCAGCTCAGAAGGGTCTGTGTGAAATAAGTGCCTTCTGTGAAGTGTCAGCATCCTGTAGAAGTAGCAGCACTTTCTGATGTGAAGGAATCTTGCAGTAGTTGAGAACCACTAATGCTGTGAAGAGCTTTCCATCCCACCAAATGATGGTGTCATTTTTGATAGGCAATCAAAAATGAGATGAGGGTTGCTATCCCTGCAAAGCTGGAAGTTTGGGATGAAAGTAGGGATGTTTATCAGAGGGGATCCAGAGCCATGCTGGCAAAAATGTTATTGTCCTGTTTTCTAGAGGGGTGGTATTGGTTTTGAGTGGGCACACACTGAAACTCTGACCCAGTAGGTTTTAAGTTTAAAACCCAGCTGTAAGTATTTTTTAAGTACTGATAGTGAATCTAAGTAATGCGTCAAGAGCTTTATTTTAGAAGGTCTTCTAGTGAGGCTATCTGTACAGGCTCTCCCATCTCTCACCCTCCCTGATAACTGCATTTCACAGAGCCCTCTATGGCTAAAGCTTAAGGACTGCTAGAAAAGCAGTGCCCTGCTTTTTCTCACTCTTGCTCATATCCATCCAGTTGCATGATCTGGACTAGATCTGGACTGTGATCTGCCTTTAGAGTGAGGGGTCCAAAGAGGCTTCCTTTCAACCACATTTGTCTCCTGGATCTGGTTTTCTGCATGGCCACATGCATGTTTTACACTGGCACAATAGAAGGGATGTCCCTCTTGTCCCTGTTTACCCCACTTGGTCTGCCTCATGAGGTGGCTGTAGGAATATGTGGCTTAGATCCTTCTGGGTAAAATTCACCCCAGCCCTGTTCTCCAGCTGTCCAGTCACTCTAGCTCTGGTCTGGTTGTGAAGACTGAAGCAGAGCCCATTCTAAATGTGTATTTGTTGGTGGAAAGAAAACTTGCTTTGGTCTACCAGTAATGCGGGCAGAGCCCTAAGATTAAACTCCCCAAGTGCCACATCTTCCCAGAGGAGCAGAGGGAGGACAGTGAAATTATCTCCTTTGCCAGTCACTCCTGAGTAATGTTGGTCAGCATGACAGGGCACCCCCTCTTTGGCAGGTCTGGGAATGAGGAATTGCAGACTGAACCTGCAGTGGAATGATTTTAGGATTGTCCTTTTCCTCTTGAGTCATCTGGATCTGAATCTATGCCAAAATTGATACCTGTGTTGCTTATTGTCCGTGTTGAACCTTGGTTGGAGCTGTGCAACAGCAAAAAATGTTTGGTGTGTTCTTATTAATTTTTTTGATACTGAAAAGTAAAATAAAGCATCAGAATCCAGCTTAACAGTGGAATTCTTGCCCACAAAACTCAGCAAAGCACCACTGGTTTCCCTGAATCTCCTGTCCTGCCCTTGTGCTCTGCCAGCCTATGTGCTGAGCTCTGGCCCCACCTCTGCTGCTCACTGGGTTTTGATAGGAACTGGTTTAGGGCAGGGACTTTCTGCACTCACACAAGGTAAGTGTTCATCTGCCAGTGCTGCAGCCTCAAGGACATTACAGGGGACAGTGTGGTACCCCCAGGTGCTCCATCCCAGTTAAGCTTCTTGAGCAGTCAGTGTCAGCAGTCCCACTTTTACTGTCACAGGGGAGAGGCTGCTGAGCTGTCCTAGACCTGTCTCTCCTTCCTTGGCACAGCGTGGGCTCTGCACAGTGTCCTCAGTGCAGCAGCTTCTCTGCTGCCACATTTGGGGAGTGGGATGCTGGCAGTGCAGGGAGGTGGGGAATAGAGGGCAAGCACTCCTTCCCTAACAGGAGTTGCCCCTCTCCATGAAGCCTGTGCTTTTAAACGCTCTTTTTATCACTGTCAGCAGTCTTGAACTATTGGGATTAACAGGGGTGGCCTTCTGCTCTTTACTTAGAACTGTTTCTTGTTAGTTTGAATATCTTTAGGCACAGACATTGTTACTGTGTTTCTTGCATAGACACGTGCATCAGTGTACTCGTTTTTAAAATGTATTCTTTTAAAACTCAGTTACTGTTTTGTTCCCCAAGGCACGCAATGACCAGTTGTTTCAAGAAGCAAACAAGAACTTTGCAAAAGAGGTAAGCTTTAGCTGATACATCTATTAATAATCATGAGCTACTTGCCTTTGGTAATTTTAAGTTTTTTGTGTTTTTTTTTTAACAGATTGGTCTACGTGTTATTCATATCTGTCTTCCTGAAGGCAGCACCAAGGATGAGGTAACTGATGTACCTGAGTCCATTTTTGTCATAAACTTTTATTTATTACGGCATTCATTATTATTTTGACTAACCTCTAGTAACTCAAATTTGGCTTAGGATTGCCTTGGTTAAATAACAAATATTAACCCCTTACTGGCAAGAGTGAGAAAAAAGAGAATTAATGGGAATATCTGCTGTTCCCTGGCAAGCTGGGGCAGAATCAATAGAGTAATGTTTCAGTTTTGTGCTTGGTGTTTAATCCCAGCTCAGGTATCCTGTCTCCTGCAGCTGCTCCTGTGGCTGTACCTGATTATTGCCCAAATTACTCAGGGAAATTACAGATTATATGATTATGTGGGGGAGGGAGGGCGGTGTTGAATTTGCCTACTGATCTTCTAATGTTTCAATTATGTATTAAAAAACAAACATCCACCCCAAATCACTAGAGGCCTGAATTCTTTACCTTGTTGAAGGCACAGCACTTGAATATAGATAAACTTTTTTTTTTTTTAGGTAACTTTTAAATATAGATAACCATATGAAAGTTAAACCAGTGAAGGAATGTACAGTAAAAGATGACACTATTCACAGCTGGCCTCCTCGTGCTTGGCAAGTTTGATAATCCTGCAGGCTTGAGAATTCTGTGTACTGTTTTGTTTTTCGGAATACTTTGTTCTTAAAATGTTACTGCCTTGCAGTGTAACCTCGAGAACTGCTTCCAGATACATTGAAAGGAACTTTCTGTGAAGTTTTGTAGATTACAGATAGTCATCTACCCATTTAAGAAGAGTGGGCTTTTGAAATAAACGAATACAATTTGTTGTTGGTAAATGTGTTTTATCTATTGAGTAACACGGCATGAAATAGGTAAAATCCGGTGACTATTTGGCAGGAGTTGCAGTTACTTTGAAGCAGTATCTTAGAAGTGATATTTAAAGTGGAGCTCTGTATTTAAAGAGAAATTTGGGTTATTTCTGTTATTTAAAGGAAGTTACTTCCAATAAAATTCATCATGGTTTGCTTACTCTCTTGCTTACTCACTATGACAGGTTTTTTCATCTACTAAAATCCACATCTCAGTTATGTTCCCTGGTGTGGGAAGGTGGGAGGGATTTCAATACCACGCACATCTGGGGTTTGCCATAGCTTTCTGTGTACAATAAAGGCAAGTTAATAGTATGCTACTTTGCCCTGCATGAGTTATAAGTAATTTAAATGCTGTGATGATGGAAACTTACTTGCATTCAAGTAAGGTGCAATTAAGATGGAAAACCGAATTACTTTCCCAGGAGGCAGAAATACAGCTTGAAGTTTTAATTGCTCTGTAGACCCCCAGCATGTTGTAGCATATCAATGTTTTTTGAAGAAAAATGCAGATGTTTTCATGTCCATATACTGGTACATCATCCTTTCTAGTGCAATGTATATACCAGCCCTGTTGCTGTCAAGTGTCATAGGACCTTAAGAGATATGCCTGGTTTTGCCTCAGGAGTCAGGAAACTGAAGAGGCATTTCTGTACCAGTGACATGCTTGTGGAAGCTGTATTTAGCATGAAAATAGTAGGTTCTCTTGGTTCAGAGTTGCAGCTAATCTAACTCCTGCATAATTCCCCTAGTTTAATGTTGATTGCATATCAGGTGTTTGGGTAATAGAGTTCACAATTACCATGAATAGTTTACAAGAAAAGTATTTTAAGAAGTCATGGTATTAGTTCAGGAAAAAATGCAAACTACTTACAGTCCTTTTTCTGTTATGTTATTCTGTTATTCTAACAAATAGAATGTTAATCCAATTCTGTTATAAAGCTTTGTGATGTTTGCACACTGGTCTTATATATAAGATGGCAAGACATGCTTGCATGACATTTCTCACTTAAAAAAAACTTTGACATGTTTTCTTCTATTCTATTCTTTGTGGTCACAGCAAAATAGCATGGATCAGCATTACACTTTAGAGAGGAAGGAATCAGGGGTAGGTAGTGCAGTCTCAGATGTCAGATATGACCAATTATAAACCACTTGAACTTGCATCTGGTTCAGTACTTGAAATTCATAAACTTCCCTGTGGTGCCTTTTCAGCATAAGTTCTCCACAAGGCAATTGCCAGCTCTTAGGATCAGGGTGTTTTGAGAAGAAAAATTGCTAACCATATATGCTGGTTTAATAAATTTAATTTTTTTTTTGTATAATTGTTCTTTCAAGTGTTACAACTTTTTGTCCCTGTATTGAGACATGATCTGATCCTTTTTGGTTTTGCACTAAGTATTAACTAAGGCATCCAGCTTCTAAAAACATCTTCCAAAGCTATTACAGTGACAAGCTTTTGCTGATATTTGGAGCGGTGAAACACAAACTGCTTTTGGCAGCATAATGTCACATAATACATATTTACTTCGCAAGATGTTGAGAATAGAGTCAGGGTGGCTTAATTTGGTAAGCCACTGATAATAAACTGAGTAGAGCAGGTTATTGCTTTTTCATTTAGAATTTGCAGTAATAAGCAAGGGAAGCCAAGGTGGCCATAAAGTAATTGAAAAAAAATTGCAGGTTTTACCTCATTCTAATCAGATTCTCCTTTTATCTGTTGTTCTAATCTTTAATGCTTTTTATTAACTCCCTAGATTGTCAGTGAAATCTTGAGACTTAATGAGGATCCTAACGTGCAGGGCCTTGCTCTTGACCTCCCAGAAAGCTTATATAGCAGTAAGGTATTAAATGCTGTGAAACCAGAGAAGGATGTGGATGGGTAAGTGGAACACTGAGAAATAATATTAGCAGGCACAAGCCTGATGGCTCTGTAAAATTAGTTTTCCCCTGTGCTTTTCATTAATGGATTCCTCAGTCAATGTGTCTAGCTGTGCTATTGAGCAGTGATAAAATTGAGTCTTTTGCTGAAGTAGTTTTGGTCATTATCTTTTTTTTTTCTTTTTTTTTTTTTTTTTTACATAATGTATATTCAGGGCAGAATTTTAAATTTTAAAGAAAGTACCTCAGTAATACAAGTGGTAGTCACAAAGTATTGAATTTTCACAAGAAGGATTGATGGAAAAATTGCAGAGATGGTTTTAACTTCCTTACAGCACTCTCTTGTGGTCAGAAAGTAAGCTATAATAGTTTGGACCCATTAGCACAGATTGCCAATCAGTGTTGAGTTGTACTGCTCTCAGAAGAGACTGCTGGTGTAATATAGTTTTGTGAGTTACCATTTTGCTGCTTTTGAAGCCTTCCTGCTCTTGGCTGCAGGCTGTTACCATTTTTTTTTAATCCCACTCTCTTTTTTTTTTTCATGTCAGGGAAAAAAAAAAATCTAAAAATCCTTCAAGTTAGTTACCTTTCCATTATGTGGAATACAGGAGATTGTTAGAGAATGGAACATTTGGAGCATCCTTCTGTATGGGAGAGGGTGGAGTGCAGTGTGGAAACAGCTGGGTTGCCCCTCCTAAGCCAGCTTGGCTCTGGCAGCAGTGGTCTGGTCTCACTGTGGCCACTGAAGTGTTTGGGCCCAGTGTGGGTAGCCCAGTGTGACAAGTGAAGAGCTGCTGCTGTATTGTGGGATCATGTCACTCATTGTAACTCAGATCCCTTTCCTGGCCTCTCTTGAGGCTCAGTGTTTCTCTAACTGGGGTGTGGGATGATACAAATTAGCTGCAGTACATGACTATCAAAGGATTTGCTTTTGTGAGAGATGTTTGCTCTTGGGATTAGCTCTTAGCCATGTTACAAGCATTGCAGGGGATTTATGTTACACAAACTCTTTTTTTTTGTTGTTGTTAAATTGCCATATTTTTCCACTGCAGATTATCCAGTGTAAACCTAGGACACTTGGTACATGGTGATGTCTGTGACTGTCTAGTTCCTCCTACAGTGTGTGCTGTGATGGAGCTTCTTGGAGGTGTAGGTGAGTCCTTCTCTCATAATCATTACATTAATTGTAGCCTAGCTATTTACTCAGTTTTAATCCTGACTGGGAGCCAAATATAATCTGACCTTGTTGTGTCTTCTATTTTGTGTTGCTTTCCTACCTGACATGTGTTTGTCTCCTGCTAGTGAGGAGGACTTCTGCTCAGTGAGATCTGAATGCTGTATTTGTAGAAGCAGGTCTCAGGCCTACAGATTCTGGGTATTAGGCAGGGGTCAGTTTCACTGAAGACACACAAAACACGTCTTCCAAACAGAAAATATAGGCATCACTTGGGGGTTTCACTTGACTATTTTAATTAGTGTGATCAGTTGGAGAAGCCCAGGTTTGCCTGTCAATTGCTGCTGAGCAAATCTTTTGGTTTGGATTGTGTCATGTCAGTGCTGACACTGAAATGGCAGATTTAAACAAGCAGGTTTGCTCTGTGTGAAGACACTGTTGGTTTAAGGCCGTGTTTCACAAGTTGACTCTCCTACAGCGACTCATAATTGTTGAAACGAGGATTTCTGTAGCAGAACTGTAAACAGGAGGTGAAATGTATTTAGTAACAAACATGAATGAAAGGATTTGTGCAAAATACCAGAAAGCCAGAAGAACAGTATTTGCTTACTAGAGTTTAGAGAGTCACCAGGAATCTCCTTAAGGCCTGTGCTTTGTGTCACTGCACGGGCTCCAGAAGAGCTGCCCGTGCTGGCACAGCTGCTGCAGTAGTGCATGCACACGGCGCTGCCCCGTTCTGAGCCCCATTGCGGCTCCTTCCACAGTGCTGCGGCCGTGGCTGGCCTGGGGGGAGCTCCATGCAGCTGCTGGGGCTTGTGCCCTGGGCTGGGGGTGGCTGAATTACTTCCCTTGTGTCACACAGGTGGGAAGAAGGTGCTGCTGCTGGGAGCGCGCGGGGCAGAGGCTGCTGCCCTGCAGAGCGTGCTGCAGCGCGAGGGAGCCGCCGTCCTCAGCTGCCACTGGAAAGCTCCACAGCTGCAGAGTGAGGTGAGCGCTCTTCTGTCTGCCTGGGCTCATCTGCATCCCCACTGTCTGCTCACCCCTGCCAGCTGTCCACCTGACAATCCTGCCCTTCGCTGCCGTTCCCAAGAGGGAGGCAGCAGTCGCAGGTGGCCCTGTGGGTTAGGGTCTTTTCTCCTTCCTGCTTGCTCAGAAATGGTGCAAACCATTTTGCATTGCATCTGGCCTTTACCAGAATATTACATGTAACAGCAGCTGCTTCTGCTAACTTCATTATTTTACACCAAGAAGAGAGGGAATCTGACAAACAAATGTGAGAGAAGGAATCAATCAAACGAATGTTTTAGCTCTCCCTTTTGCTTTCTCTCTATGCAAGAGAAATGCCCTCTTTTTTCTCCTGTCCTGTGATACTGTCTCTGCATGAAATTACTTCCACTGGATTTGTATCCTAAAGGTTTGCAAGTGTTGCTGCTCTTGGGAGAAAGAAATTCCCAACCTTTATCTTTGGAGAGAACTGAAAAAGGATTCAAAGAAATCCAGGAGCATTGAACCGAAGGATTTGCATGGTCTCCCTGGCTGCTTTTTGCAGAGCTTATAGACACAACTTAGAGGATGGAATGACTTCCTGTGAAGCTTAATGTTTGTTCCTCAGTCCCAGATTTCACAGAATGCTCCAGCTGGGGTTGCAGTGTCACTGGGGTAGGTGCAGCAGGTCCAGGCGGTGGCAGTGCCCGGAGCTCCAGGGCCAGGCTGCCAGGCGGGGAGCGGTGCTGGGGACAGCTCTGCTGTGGGACAGCCCGTGCCACAGGGTGGCAGCCAAGGCAAAACCATGGCCTCCGGGCTCTGGAAGCGCAGACAGGAGCAGGAAACGAACTGGAGCAGCTGTGATAGAAAGTTCTCTGGCAAAGCCGTGTTTTCACAGCTGTGGATGTTTTTGTCAGGCTTGTCTCAGCTCTGGGCTTTTAAGTGACTGACAGCACTTAGGAAACATATGGCTCTCTGGGAGATGGAGTGCTGTGAACTTGATCCTTGCCATGTCTCATTCCTCAGTTATTTCTCATTGCTTGGGGTTGTGCTAGGGAACTGCTTTGGGCTGGATGGGGTGGGTGACAGGGTGGCCAGAGGTGTTTCCACTGGTTCACAGCAAAAAATCTGGACTGGGCCCAGAGCTGCTTGTGCAGTGCTGTCAATAGCTGGAGAGAGTTCTGTTTCCTTCCATCCAGATGCTTTCCCATAATCATGCTTTGCTTTTTGGCATTCCCCATAGCTTACCTCTTGGACCAGGCCACTGATGGGAAACAGAATGGGAGGCCCAAGTTTGAGGCTTTATGCACTTCAGTCTTCCCAGGTTCATTTTAACTTTTGGCAGTGAAATAGTTTGTACTTTTCTTGCTGAACTAATCAGCAGAGCCCATAGGGAACCTACCTTCTCCCTCACCTGTGAGCCTGGAGCAGCATGTCACCAGTAATCCCAGAGCTGTTCTGAGCTGTCTGGATGTCACTCTGATAGTAAACTCTAGCTCCTTGATAAAATCTAATTTGTGCAAGGAAGACTATCCTATTTCATATTCCCAGAAGCTGGAGAGTCAGAAACTGAGCAAAAGTTTCTAACCAAACAATGAAGTACTCTGACAACCTGTATTTGAACTACAATGTTGTTAGATAACATGATTGTAGAATTTATATTTTTCTGCTTGTTTAAAATGCTGATTGTGAGAAACAGCTTTAGTGTTCAGCAGGTTTCTTCTCTTGATTTTTTTATTATTTGAACTTCAAGTAAGAAAATGTGCTAGTTGATGTTTAAGTTTTTCAAAGACTTGAAAGAATCAATTCATGTTCTGTTTTTCCTGCACAATACACTAACTTTTCCTTTCTCTGAATGGGACACCTCTACAGCGACAGTTTCTGTGCTGTTGTTTGGAAGTGTAACCTGTGGTAGCATAAAAACTTCACTTAGGAAGTGAGGGATAAATTTATGAAGAGTATGATTTTTTTCCACGAGGATGCATTTGTTTTGCAGTATATAACAGGAAAGGAGAATTTTATCTTAAGGGCAGGGGAATGTTATTTGTTGTAATCCATTGGCCTATTTGCATTGAAGCAATAACCCTGGCCTTAATGATGTAATGCCTTTCTTAAGTGGTTACTGTATTACCTTAGACTAGCTCTGCTGATTTGTTCTTCTTTTTAAAAAGGACAGCATAACAAAAGTGTTTTCTTTAGAAATTCTTTTAATTTAAATGAGTTACACAACACTAAGTTTGCAAGTTTTTTGGATAAGGTTTTGTATTGCTATGGACTTGTTATTGCTTCTCATGCACTTTTGCAAAAATATTTTGAAAATGATCAATCAAGAGGAAGTATGTTTTAGTCCACCTTAGGAACAGTGTAAAAATATAGGGGTAGCTCTCCTAACAAACAGCATAATGCTATCTACTATCTGACTCAGTGTGCTCCTTTAAAGCCAGTCTGTTCAGTCTTATGTCAGGAAAATTGAATAAAATAAATAAAGGTGCATTTTCATTTCATTGCTTTGATCTGAAATAATGGACACAGTTTCAATGTTCTTTTCCCGCCCCACTTCATGTTTTGTTAAGTTGAAAAGATTATTAATATTTCTTTTTTCTTCCATTTTGACTTCAGTTCTCAGGGCACAGCTGAGTCATGTCCTTCAGAACTGTTGAGCTTCCTGGGTTTTCAAATAATTAACAAATGCAAGAATGCATTTTAGAAGGTTCTGACACATCTGTGCAAAGTTGTCATGAAGATGTTAGGGACATCTCCCTTGTAATTTTAAAATGTGACTCCCCGAAAGTCAGTTCAGTATTACAACTGAAGAATGGGAGCTGATGCATTTAATCCTTTATTGTGTCAGAATTATGATTTCTAGTTTGAAGGGAGGTTGTCAAGTAGATTTGTATTGGAAAAAAATGGATTATTTTCTTGCCAAAACATGGGTAATACTTAGTGTCTGTAAGAAAACAGAATTTTGTTTCAGTCATCTAAATTCAGTCAATCATTATTTCAGCACGTCAACTTTAATGTAGTCCGTGTGTGAACCACATCATGCCTGTTTTATGGGAGCTGCTATCTTATAATTTTTTTGTAAAAGATGTGAGAATTGGTCTGTCTAGGTGTAATTAGGAATAGAAAAATTGTTTGCAAAAGCAAGGTTAAGAAGTGTGAGAGTGGTTCAGTAGGAGTGCTGAATAGGAGTTGCCTTTTCAGGTTGAAAAAGAACTTTTTTGCCATAATGTGCTTTGCCTTAGAGCCAACACTTGAGCTTCAAACTCTTAAACATCTCTTAGCTATTTGCTCTCCTAGTTTTGCTGTCTTGGTAAGACCTAGACTCTTGTTATGGGCAGAAAAATACACTTTGTATTGTAAGCATGAAAGAACAGGAGACGAGGCACATGGATTCCGTAAGAGGAGAGAATAGGGAAGCTGCATGAGCGTTTCTAAAGATGATGATGCAGACAAAGTATTTCCATTTCAACATCTTATGCACATCATCTCTGTTCCTTGTAATTTTGAAATGTATTCCCCTGTCTGTAAGGTAGAGGAGCAGTTGCTGAAGTGTGGATCATAGTGGCAGGCTTGAGCCCACAGCAGAGGTGTGGGCTTGATTTCCTCGTGCACTGTGTAGGGCAAGTGCACTCAGGGTGACGTGGCAGGGAAAGCTGCAAGAAACCATGTAATTAGTACATGCCTTGGTGAAAAAAGTACCTGAAACTAGTCATTGACTTAAAAAATTTTCAAGATCTCAGAAAGTAATTAGAATTGCTGTGGAGCCTGATCTGTAAACTGATGTGCAAGGAGGTTTTTTTCATAAAGAGAGTTGTGAAAAAACTATCAATCAAATTCCTATTCCTCATTGCATCTCTTCAATTTTGTACAGCCTAGCTTAATACCCAGGACTCTGGGGGCTTTTACAGTTCAATTGTTAATTTTAATTTTTATTTTGTTTGATCATGCCTTTAAAAATGGCTCTTGTAGAAGTCCATTTTAACTATGGGAAAATGAAAATTTTATGCAGACTTCACAGCAAAATGGAGTTTCAGTGATCTGTAATATACAGCTACTTTGTGTCATTATCATTTATTACTTGGCTGGAAAGTCTGTATTGTTGTTTTAACATTTGGTGTTCTGTCTTGGGAATGGGTGGTGCTTCTTAATCTGCTTCAACTAAAATCTTGGTGGAGGGGATCATATTTTATTATGAGGTAAGGTTGCAGATTATTTATTGGCACAGCTCTTCCCAACTGAAAAAACATTTACCGGTGAGAAGGCAGGATACTACTGGACTTTTGGCTTACTTTGTCTCCAGCCTGTTGCCTAGTACATTAAGGAGGGTTTGGCCTGATGCTTGTCATTCCCTCCTCTAGCCAGCCTGATGGAATGGAGCCTTGCTGTCCAGGAAGCATGAGGCAGGCAGCCACATGTTCTCCCTCATGGGTATCTCCTTGACCTTCTGGCTATGGCTGCCTGTAGCATCTGGTTCCTGTCAGATGTGTCCTCTGTGTCCTCTGTCCAGGGACTGTGGTGCATTTGCTGGGGGAAGCTAAATGTGATTATTTCATAGGACTTTTCCATCTCTCACCTCTGTAATCAGTTTCTGATGTAGGAGTTGACCCTGAACACTCATCCAAAGGCTTGCTTCTTGCTTTAGTGATTATTAAACAGGCAGTCAAAAGGATAGATTAGGGCAAGAGAGAAAAATCTAAAAGCAAAGGAGGCACGGGCACAACTTCCTGTAAGTGAAACTAATATTTCCTAATGGAGGTCACATAAATCTCTTCCAAGGATACGCAAAATTCTGTACATGAGTATTTTGCTTTAAGTGGACTTGCTCTCTGAAGTTTCTGGATATACTTTTTAAGAATACTCACAGGCAAAAAAAAATTCTCAAAAATGTTTGTGATAGATATATTTTATTAACTCTGTCGGAACTTTTTCAATAGCTGCACATAAAATATTGTTTTCTTTGTGAAATAAGGGAAAGGAAATTACACTCAGGAAAGCTCTGAGAAATCAGTGTGTCTTTAACCTGTGGTACAACTCTTTGCTGCCATGTGATGCAACTTTTTTCATGGAGGAGGTGGGGCAGGGCAGTGAGATGACAGGTCCATCTGGTTTTCTGCTAAAATTTATGAGTATGTGCGATGCTAGCTATCCGAAACAGTGTTAATGTTGGCTACAAAAGTAATTGTGTTCAGCTGTTAAAAACATTTTTCAGCATTAGGGTCGGTAGTCATAGAGATGAGTATTTGGTTCCATCAGTTGTTTTCTGACATTACAGTTACATTGAATCAATTCTGTCATAAGTATGTTGGCTGAACATTCATCAGAATTATTACTTGTTGCATACAGCTCTCAACTTGTTCATCAATTCACGATGCTAAGCGGTGTGCAAAGCTCTTAGTCCTTGTCCCAGAGGCTTTGCATGGAAAGGCATCTTGACTTACAGAATATGATTTATAACTGCTGCAAAAATATGAATTATTTTTTTCCTCGCAAAAAAAAAAAAAAAAAAGCTGTGCTCACGTAACTGCGGAAAATCACTGTTTTTCTCTGTGTTGATGTTGACTGTTACAGCAGAGATTTCCTTCTTTTGAAGGGCGAAATGTGCCTTCAGCATGGTATTCTTGGTACATGAGGCATTACAGCATCTTTTTATCCAGATTTCCTTGCAGATTTCTGAGTATAATTTGACCTGACACTGGTCAAGCATTGTGACTTGTGTGGCCTTCCAGGAGTGGTGTGTAAGCTGATATTTGCACCAGACTCAGGAGTGTGACCAGTTTGAAAAAGGCTGAATGACTGAGCACAGGCAATCACAGGAGTGTTGCTGGACATGTGACTGAAGCCTGAATCAGCTCATTGCATTAGTCATTTGTCAAGCAAGTGGATCTTCTCCCACACTTCTGGCTTTGTTTCCACATGGGGATCTCTAAGGAGGGTTAGGTCATCCTTGTGTCCTCTGAGGGGAAGATGGAGGTTTTCTACTTTTCTGCCTTTTCCGCAGCAGTTATGTTCTTCTCCCCTCCTGGATGCTCAGCTGTGCCAAAAACCTGCTATCCTGACAAGATTTGTAGCTGTTCTTTCTTGGCAAGAGTGTTGGGCAGGGTTGTGTCAAAGCACTTTTGGCCAAAAAAGAAGCTGGAATGCCTGTCAGTCACAAATCAATTTGGAGAGTGGCTCACTGAGTTTGTGACACTTGGAATTTATTTGCATTTATCCAAAATATTACCGAAACTACTGCATTTCTGAAGTAATTTTTACAGTCAGGCTTAAGGCAATGATGTGTTTGTGTTTTGCTTTTTTAGTGTATTTTAATATGTCTGCCTCTGATGCTGTCCCTTATCTCATGGTGATTCTAAAAGTTGGTAAAGGGCCCTGTTTCGGAGGAAGTGGGGAAAGAAAGGCACTTATGTCTTTGATTATAAGTATTTTTGTAGTAAACATTTTTGCTCCAACATCCGCCAGGCTGAGCTAAATGAGGAGCAGTGATTAGCAGACATGAACGGAGAAGGGAGAAAATGCTTTAATTGGAATTCAAAGCCACTGATCTTCACAGGAGGGTTCATCCTGCATCCCTGTCAGCTGGCATTGTTTTCTGCTGTCAGGGAATCTGACTGTACTCTTTATAAATGCCTATTTACTGTCTTCAACCCCTCTTTTTCTTCAAGTTAGTTTGGACTTCAGAACAATGGTAGAACTTTATATTTGGAAGGATATAATCCCCATTAAATACTAATACTTACTTTGACCTCACTCACCTGATCTCACAGTTTGTTTACCTAATTTAATTTTAAATGCTGTTCTTAAGTTTCGTGACAGGTAGGAATCAAACTATCAATGTGGATCTTTGTTTTGTTCTTGTTGTCTGTAAAAAGGCTATTATTTATAATAGCTCAAAAGGCTATTGCTGTAGAAGTCTGAATATTTTTAGAATGCATATCTAAGTGTGTATATCTAAGATGAAATGTTTGTTTTGTTTCTGGGGGTGTTTTGGGCTGTCCCTAGCTCCGTCAGGCAGACGTGGTGCTGTTCGGCAGTACGAAGCCCAGTGATGTTCCTGTGAGCTGGATAAAGCCCGGGGCCACCGTTATCAACTGTGCTCACGGCCTTCTGTCAGGTAAGAGGTGATAAAAGGGAACAGTTCTTGCAAGTGGTGGACAGTGAGCCTTTGAGATGTGTGTGGCCTCTTGGTGACAGCCTAGTGTGGTTGAAAGCTGCATCTCTGCTGGAGGGCCTTTAAAGGTGTGTGTACAGGGCATGTGTACACCTTTCTCTGATGTGTAAATAGGGAAAAGATGTTAGGTGAGAGAAGAAAGGTTGGAACTGATTCCTCATACCAGGGTGGTTGGATAAGTGGTGACCCAATGGATTCAGAGAGTTCAGAGGGAAGAGTTTTGGGTCATCAGATGAGCTATTACATAGTGCTGGTTTGTACAGTGTCTTATCCTGTGACTTCTGTGGACTCACCCAAAATATAGGAAAAGGAGAAGGGAATAAATATCAACTGCAAAGTGCTGTGAAACTGTCTGCAGAGAGTGGTGCAGGGGGAGTACAGAAATCGTGTGCAGTTAAAAAGAGGCAGAATGTCTCCCGCAGTAACTATTCCTACAAAAAAAGGGTTTGAATTAATCTCCTTCCTTTTCCCCTAACTTGTTGTGGAGGGTGTATGTGCTCCATAATTTCTCAGTTGAAAAAATATTACAGAATTTTCTTAGGAATAAAATTAAGAAATTTTCCCAGAAGTTACCGTGCTGCTAGAATAACATGTAGTAATAATAATAACATGTAATTTTACATCTCTTAAGTTTCTTAAAATTCTCTGAAGGTCTTTGGATATTTTCTAGGTTTTTGGTGTGTATTTGAACTTGACTGCTCAGCATCCCAATGAGATTATGCTGCAAATGAATAGGAAAATTAAGAAGTACATAGATATCATGACAGGTTAATCTGGGTTTTTTCTTAATCTTATCACAAGTGTACTGGATTGATATCTATTGGTACAAAATAGTGGAAATGGGCATAAAGCTGAGAAAACCTAATTGCATGGGTTTTAAACTAGGGATATTCCCTAAGGGCAAATTAAGCAGACACTCCATGCAGAGCTGATGCAAAATCAGGATCATAAAAAAGCAGCTGCTGTTCCCATGCAAAGCATGGCTTTAGCAATAGATTTATTTCCTTGTCTTTCATGATATCCCCCTGACTTGAACAGACACTGCAGGTGTGGAGAACTGGGTTATTATTCACTTGATGGTCTGAAGGCATTTGGACATTCATTGTCCACCTCCCGAAGCAGATCTGTGATCCTACTGAGGATCTCGGGTGGGTACCGAGCCTTGTCCCTTCCTGATGCTGCACAAGTTGCCCAAAAATAATACATGTTTTCTTTTTCCTGGACTAGTGACTAGGAAACTCCTTGCATCTCTAATGCCCATTTGCTTCCCCTAGGGATTTTTGGATATAAATGTTAAGTAAACGTAAGGCAGGGCTTGGCACACAGGTCTCTTCAGCAGGTACCCAGCCTGCTAGTATGACACAACCTTACATGAAGGAGGAATGGGGGTGAAAAGGAAAGAAATAGAGAAGAGAGGGAGTGGTGGTACAGCAGTCATACCTATAAATCAATAAACTGAAAAGAATCTCCATTCTTCATTTTAATCTTGTAAGTAGAAACCTCTTACGTGGCAGACTTGGGGTGGTTCTGACAGGGTGGGATAAGCCATTCTGTGCAGCCTCAGTGGGCAGCAGGGGTGACTGGACTCTCCCAGAACTGTGTGCTGCCTGCTGCAAGTCCCACTTTCAGACACCTAATTCTCTCCATTGAGGAGTCTGAGCCTTCACAGATCTAAAAGTTAAACAGTATAATTGCATGCTACATTTTAAGACTTAAATATTCCTTAGTTGCTCTAAAGAAGTTCTCTAAAAGAGTGTTAGAAGAACTGCATTACATACCACAGAATCATTCATTCCTAATGCAGGAAATGTAAGATTTGGCATAAGCATATACATTTGTTTGCATTTTTCAAGTTGTAGCAATGCGCTTTGTTTCCATTTTTTTTTGGAAAGGCAGCATGAGATTTTTATCAAGATAATTTAAATGGAACTTATCTACCAAATGTCTGTCTGTCTTTATGGTTATGCTTTTGAGGTTGCCAGAACCTTGGAGAAACTCCGAAATGACAGCAAAAAGGCATTATACCAGCTGTAAAAATGTTGGTCTCAAGGCTTTCTAGAGAGGTACACGAAACACAGGTGTCTGACAGGAAGAATGCACTTAGTTTAATTGCAAGATGTTTGTGGAAAACCAACTGTGGGGTAGTTGTGACCTTGGAGAAACAACTGAATCTTATAACTGACTCTTGACTTCCATGGAATCTGGCTGAGGTGCTTGAAAATTGTTCTGGATTTTTTCTTGCTTTAGAAATGTCTGACTTGACATCTGTGGGGTCGCAGGAGCTAAATGAAGCCTGAAAGCAATAATGGTCATGAAGTAACTTTTGTTCTTGCTAGATGGTGGCTGGATTTCCAACTTGTGTGGGTGTACAGGTCGTCTAACACACCGCATGTTTTAAAAGCAGTCAGAATTTGCAAGGACGTAGCTGAATTGGGGAAATGTAATGTTGTAAATCAGGAGAGTAGAGATAAAAGTGCTCACTCCAAAGTGGCAATTCTTTTTAAAGTATGTTGGGTTTTTTTTATCAAAGGTTTTTAAATTATCACAGTTTTAAATCATTCTGCAATTTTCTGTCAGTGCAACATCTGCTTCTGTTGCACTGACAGTCTTGGAATCAGGTGAGTGCTGGTAGTGTCTTGCAGGAATATGTCCTTTATATGTAAATGTATGGAAATGAAAATAACTTTCTGAACAAAACTTAAGCATGCCAGAATTATTTGGGATTTGATGTCCAATTCCTTTGGCATCACTTGAAAGCTGAAGCCCACATGGTTTAAGTATGTTAGTGGGAAATTCAACCATTTCCCCACCTCTTCTCTATTCTAAGCTGCCTGAGCAGATAGGTAGCACCTGACAGCAGCTCTCACTCATCTACCTGCACAATAGGGTATCAGTCTGAGGAGGGAGCACAATGTCTGAAGTTCAGCTGATCTGATCATAGTCCAAAGAAGAGAGTGCTATTCCAGCTTCCATCTGGAAAATTTATCCTAAGAGAGCTGTTGCAATCCTGTGATTGTCTTGCTAACTCTGTGCGTGCATGACTTTCACCTCTAGTTTCACCTTCACCCCTGTAAAAGCCTGGTTAGCCATTTGTGGGGTGACTGTGTAGCATAGGCAGTCTGAGAGAAATAGTTTATTGAAGGGAATTGTCTAATTCTAAAATGTATTTACACACATGCTAACTCTGCCCTGATAAAAATAGTCATATTAAGCCAAATAACATAAAAAGTCAAAATGTTTCTGTAAAGCACAGCTGTCTGAAAGGGGGTTTTAAACTTCATTCTTCCTACTTCATTTGTCTGTTTGGCAGCTCTCCCAGCCTGGTCCCAAAGCAACAAGAGTCAGCTTATGACTGTAATAGACTATTCCAGTAAAACTCCTCTGTCTAAATCTAAAGCTGAGCATCTCCAGAAGAAATTGTTTGCTTGTTTGTTTGTTTGTTTGTTTTAATTGCAAGGGTTAATGCAAGTAGAAGGATTTTTCAGACACTTTCTTAATTAGAGTTTAATATGAGGATTGTATCCTTCAGCTGGGTTAAATTTGTCACTGATGTGTAGATGCCTGCTGGCAGGAAAGTTGGAGAAAGGGTCGGGAAACACACGGAATGTGGCTGAGGGTGTCTGCAGAGAGGGTCTCTTGCTCCCTCAGTGATGAGTGTGGGCTGTAGCTGCCACCCTGTCTCCAGTCTGAGTGTTCTGTGCCCTGCTGCTCTAGGACCCTTGTTGGGAGGGGTGACTGTGCAAGGAAATGTGAACCTTTTATGACCAGTAGAGAAGGGGTGAACAGAGCAAGAGCCTGACCAGGTCAGGGTTTGCACTTCAGTTCCCCTGTGGCAGAAAGGTTAAAGCTGTCAGCATACAGTTGTTATTTTTCTATTACAGTTATGTCTACGCCCTTCAGAATATGGCTATGGCCTTGAGAATATGGCTATGAGAATATGGCTATGAGAATATGGCTATGAGAATATGGCTATGGCCTTGGCCCACAGAGGCTAGGATGTGAATTTTGGAGAAATTGTGCCTAGATAAAAGTCAATGAGCAACAACAGAAGAAAAAGCCAGAAGAAGGATTACAGCAAAATTACAAAATACTGTGTTTAACAGGGGTAGCTAATGTATGATTTATCATTTGATATATTGCTACTAGAAAGAATTCTAACTGTCTCTGAAATTGAAGTCACTCTGAATTGTGTAGAATGCCTACTTTTAATATCATGCTGATGAAGATAATTGTTGCTATTCAAAAGGATTTGCATATAGTGTTTCCAAGTTATAATAATCCTGTATGGTATTTGTGATCATTTCATTGTTCTCCCTCACTGTAATGTGTATGTCAAAGAGAAGACAGTCTTTACCATGCTCATTTATGTGTTCTGTTTAAGAATGTATGTAGCTTTTCAGAAACAGCTGTGCGAATTTTTTTTGTGTGAGTTTGTGTAATATGTTTCAGAGCATACAATTACTTTCTGATTTTCATAGTATACTCATCTTTCTGGGTGATTTCATTTGAAGCCACCTATAATTTTGTCTGTAATATTGTTAAATTTCAAGTCAGCATTCAGAATTTTTTGATTTGAACGTAACTTTCAAATACACGTGCTCCCACTCAAAAAGGATTTGTGATTTATTAGTGCAATACTTGTATTTTTCAGAGAAACACAACTGTGGTCAGCAGAACAACCCTGCTGCTGAAAAGACTGTTGGTTCTCTTGTAGTAGCAATGAGAATGCAGGTTGGTGTACCTTTCATTGTTGTAGATTTGTTGTTCTTTCTGTAAATTGCAGAAATTTCTTCTACAGTTTATATTTTAACTTTTGTTTTGCTCTTTCTAACATCTTATCTGACTTCCATTTTAATAGCAACTCTTAATCAGATAGAGTGATACCTGTCTGATTTATTACATTTATCTGAATAAAATTACGTTTAATTAGAGAAAGATAAATTAAAAATCAGATATCTCTTAATTCTGGTTAATACAGTAAAGCTTGGCAGAAGCACTTGTCTCAATAGGCTACTGCCACTCACTCTGGTAAGACTGTGAAAATTAATTGTATCTGTCTGCAATTTTGCATTATGATGGATAGAGAGTCCAAAAGTTTGTTATTTAATTTTGGGAACAACATGAGTCAATCAATGAACAATCAGTATCTTCCATTATTTTTAAGGCGTGAGAGAAAGAAATTCTCCAACTTACCAGAATAAAATGTTCAATTGCCTAATTAGAGACTCTGCTCTGCATGTGTTAATGGAGTTGTTTCTTTTTGAAATGTGGTCAAACAATAGAAAAGTGGCTCTTACTTTGTCCTAAAACCATGAAATATGGAAAAATTTTTAAGTTTCAGGGTTTTTTGTTAGCCTTTGCCATAGAAGTTATTTCAACGTACTCTAGAGATGGTTTGAAGTTAATGTTCAGCATTTATGATGCAGCTGTTGTCTGCTGTTCGCTTTTTTAAAATCAGAACATGGTAAAAAACATGGAGAGATGGATCCAGTCCCAGCACTACAGGAAGTGGGACCTCCACTGCTTGAAACTGCAGCCCCTCTCCCCAGTGCCCAGGTAAGTGCTTTTTAAAGAAAAAATAATATTTTTAAAAAGAGGAAGCAAGTGTAACAATCTAAAAATATTCTGTGCAGTTTTTAATCTCACGTGGACTATATGTTGTGCTGTTCTCTTGTATGCTTCATCGTGGCCATGTGCTTCTGTTTGCTGTCGATTTTTACTTTGATGATATGCATTGGAGCCAAGCTTTATTTTAAGAGGATCTAAAGGTGGAAGGTTTCATTGACAGAAGTAGGAGAAGCCTTGTGCAACACCAGCAGAAATACAAGACAAGAAGTTCCTAATGGCTAAACCCTGAAGTAGGAAGGTGTTTAGTTAAGGCTCAGTAATTGCAATGGCATTTGAGTTTGTATTTATTTTCTTCCCTCAGTAGAAGTACTTTCTTCTGTATTAGACTTTTAAATTCCTGTGTGGGTGTGAAAAGCAGGAAGCATATTTATTCTCATAGCCAGAATCTTTTCAATCAGTTCCTGTCATTCACTTCCCAAGGCCCCTGTCTGGGCCTCAGGGATTTCAGGTCTGCCTTGGCACGATCGCTGACATCTCTGACATTTAAAGCAGCCTGAGCTCTTTACTGTGCTAAAGTGCTTTGCTGTGAGTTGGGTGACAGAGCAGGGAACCAATGGCTTGAAAGTGAGGAAAGTGTCAGCATTCCTTTGTGCTTGTTGGTACGCCTGCTTCTGCAGATCCTAAAGGAACCTCACACCAGAATAAAGTCAGAGAGAGATGGAACTGCATAGTCTGGAGGAGAGGAGGATCTTATCAATGTGTCTAAATACAATGACACAGAGAGGAACAAAGCAGGCTCTTTTCAGTGGAAGCCAATGACAGTGGCACAAGCCATAGGCAGTGAGCACAAACTGAAGGAAGCTCCAGGAGACTCCATCTGAACATCAGGAAATAATTCTTCACTGTGAGGGTGACCAAACATTGGCACAGATTGTGCAGGGTGGTTGTGGAGTGTCCATCCTAGGAGATATTCAGAAGCCTCCTGGACATAGGCAACTAACTAGCTCTAGATGCCTCTGCATGAGCAAGGGTGTTGGACCAGATGACTTCTAGAGGTCCCTTTCAACCTCAGCCATTCTGTGATTCTGTAATTCTGAATCCTACTGGTGTCTTTTTGGAAAGCTGTGACAAAATGTTGTATTTTTTAAGCATTGCTTTTCACTGTCTCTTAAAACAGTTTAATGGGAATGGACACAAATGTGATTTACACCAGAGATGCCAAAAGAATGAGTTTTCTCTTGTAACCAGGGGCACAAGGGGACAGAAATGCTTGAGCTTTTTCTGGGCTAGCATGTAACATTTCTAGAATTGAAGCAAAAAAACCCCTATCCTTAAACAATACAGTTAAAATATGCGATGTCATGAGTGTGATGGTAAAAAAAAACTTTCAAAAAAAGTATTCCCAACCCTCTCTATGACATTGTGTGTTTAGTACATAAATAATTACATAATTAATAAATAACAGTGTGTGTATATATAAATACACACCATATATATGTATAGTATAATATATATTATATAATTAGTATATATAATTAGTATATTATACTTGCATTTATCTGCTAACTCTATAGCTTTGTCTTTTTTTCTTTTAAATATAAAGAAACCCTTCAGATAGGAAGTATCCTGTAATAAAATGTAAGCTTGCAGCAATACACCATGTTGTGTAGAAACAGATGGAGTTTCATTGAAAGTGAGGCAAAGCTGCTTAAGCATTAAAATTAAGAACATCTGCTTTTTGATTTCTATGAGATCTGGGCTGAAGTATTTCCAAATATATTGGAAATGGAATGGAAAAATTTCTAACAGTAAGCAGCAAAAAAAAATAAATATCAGGTGAGTAGATGTAGAACCTTCCTCCATCTCTTATATTTTTCTGCATTTTATAAATTATCACTTTGCATTGTCAGTGATGGACTTCTTGCTTAACAGTTTTCATTCATGCAGAAGAACCACTTTTGCACATCTCCTGCAATACTGAAAAACTTAGCATATTGAATAATTCTGGTATTTCCAATACAGAGAATATGTTGTCAGATTAAAAGAGAACAAATACAGACTTCTAAGGTCCAGGTATAACCAAATCTTTAATTTCCTGTGTTTTAGAAAAGTGTTGGAGGAAAAAAATGCAAATTACCTTTGTCATATTAGTCTACATCTTTCTCCTCTTGCTGTATGCATTGATTATTTTAGTAGGAGAATAGTCACCCTGAAAACTTCCCTTTCTTAGATCTTTAAGGGATTACACTGCCATCAACTCAGGAAGAATTTTCTGGGACTTGAGTTGTTTACATATAGTAAGTTCTGCGTGAAAACTTCAGCTGGTCTTTGCCATGTGGTGTTTGTAAGCCACTCCATCTTGTGTTCTTGTTAAATTTTTATGGCTGTTTGAAGTCACCCTTAAGAAGCCAAAGGTATATCCTTCTATGAAAGAGGATACACTTAGTATGTCTTTGAAATAAAGCAGGTTCCAGGTTAGTTCTATGATTGAGTAACTCTGTGTCCTGTAGTACTGGATTATGTCATTGTTTGGGTCGATGGTTTCTGGGTTTCACTTAGCAGCTGCAGGCTGCAAAAGGGGGACACTTGAGAACTATAAATGAATAATGGAGCCAGTTTAGGATTTTCTCAAAGAATTGCAAGAGATTAAGTTGGCACAGACTGATCATTTGCTGGTGGATGCAGAATGGCCAAAGTCCACACACAGGGCTGAGATCTGGTAGTAGTTTTATGTTCACTGGATATTTAAGGTCTTGCAGAATGTTTGAAAGATCAGGACATGAACTTTCATGCCATTGCCAGATTCTGTCTTTAAAATCCTGTTTGCCAGCCCCTAGGCTCCCATGCTGCAGGAGCTTACAGCTGCTACACACTTATGTGGACCCAATGGGCAGCTAGGTCAAGCTCACAAAGGAAAAATCCATGATGGAGTATTAAATCCAAAGACCTCAGGTCGTCCAGGTCAGGAATTGCAGATACAGTAGTGTCCCCTGCAGCCACATCCCCTCTGGCAATCTGTGCACTGCCGCTCGCCCTTGCTGGAGGTAGTTTGTAAGGTCACTGGATGTCCTGGCTGAGCCCCATGCTTTAGACTCCTGCTCTGTGACCATTCTTAGTTTAGCTGTGTTTTAGAAGTGCATGAGTTGGTCTTCAAATGCCTTCTTTCCTTTAGTGCCCTCGTGGGGGAGTAGTGATGTTGGTGCTGCCCTCAGATGAAAGGCGCCGCGTGCACGAGCTTTGGGTTCAGCACATGTGTTTGTGTGACTGTTGGCCAAGGAATGCATGCACTTTTTAGTAAATTGTATGTGCTGAAATATGCTGTGAGGGAGGAGAACAAAAGGGAAAAACAAACCCAGAAACAGCCATTCCACTGGGACATGCTTGAGCATCCAGCAGACACGTTTCTAGCTCGATATGAGAGCATTATGTAATATTTGGAATCTGATTAAACAAGAGCTCTCTGTGAAATTGTAACAATTAACAAACACTGTACGTGATTTTCAATGTTATATTAGGTGTTAGCTAATATTTAGGTTTGGTTAATAAAATGTGAGAGAGAAATGAAAAACTCATTACAGTAACTCCATTGTTGGATTATTTGCTGTTGTTTAGTGCTCTGTCGTCGACCACCTAAGCTGAGAGAAATCTCCTGGCCCCTATTTGTTTTCTTTTCCAGTGATATTGAGATTTCCCGAGCACAGAGTCCAAAAGCTGTTGATGTACTTGCCAAGGAGATAGGATTGCTTACAGATGAAATTGAGATCTATGGCCAAACCAAAGCCAAAGTACGTTTGTCCCTGCTGGAAAGGTTAAAGGATCAACCAGATGGAAAATATGTTCTAGTTGCTGGGTAAGAATGCTATGTAATGTCATTAATGTCTGCTGTTTCCACTCTTATTAATATAAACATGTAACTTACATCTTTTTTATACTCTGCACAAGTAAGAATCTTGAATGTTTTCATCTGTATGTTGCTCTCTTCTGAAAGTGAGCAGGTTTTAAACTTTTTTGAAGTAACACAACTTTTCTTCCAAACTGTTATTACTGAAGTAAAGTATATTTTATAAAAGGTTACTTGTTCTATGATTCTGTGAAATGTTGGTGAGTGGAGTTTTTCTTACTGTTTTATCAGAATTTTAAATGTTTAACTTGGATATTTAAGGCTGCCTGTGTTGTGGCTGTTTATAAACAAACATTAACAGAAGCTACATGCTAATCTGTTGATATTAACAATAAATACTTTTTTTATTGAAGAACAGATTACAAAGTTTAAAAAGCCATGTTTTTTCTCTGAAATGTAGACATGTCTCCAGGCAGGCTTATCCTGCTTGTTTTTCCCACGATTACAGCAAATGCAATGCTCAGCAGGAATTAGGCACTTCTCCTCTGAAGAGCTTCAGGTTTTTCTTGCATTCAGTGACACAACTTTTCTTTCACCCAGTTTACTAAGTGGAAACTTCTGCTTGTGAACAAACATGCGAAGGTTTTCATTAATATTTAAATTTCAGTGTGTTCTTTATATTCTGAGTTACTCTATTGGTTGCTTCCTTTTAAATAAAACCACACAGGTTTAAAATGCAGTTTGGCTGATCCAGGAGAAAGCTGTTGTTAACCACCTTGATCTACTGATTCCTCACGTTAGCCAGTGTTTCTCTAACTGCTTTACTGCCTTCCTCTGGGAGCAGCGGGATTTCTGGCACTGTCTGAGGTGGAGCTGTTGTAGACTGAGACTCGATGTCACAAAACAAGGCAGGCAAGATATGAAGCTTTCCTCAAAGCTATGTGATAGAAGTCCAGCGTTAAAGATATTCCTGGAGGATGCTGGAGCAGTTAAGAGAAGGAAATAATAGCTGGTTGAGCTTGGTCTCCTTTGGCAGAGTTTTATTTTGGTTTTGGTTTTGTTGTGGCTTTGGAGAAACAGAAATAGGTTTGGTATTTGACTGAGTTTGAAGAAAGTTGCTGCCGTGCATTTTCATACTCATGATGTCAACAGCATCAGTTGATCATCATGCTGCAGACCAATCCAGACTTCCCTAGCAACAAACCTCTCATAGAAGAAGAAGAAGTGAAGATATCTGGAGGTGCAAAGACAGCAAGTTTCAAAGCCCCATTTGGGTGGATTTTAGCTGTGTCAGATAGCATGCACTAATGCTTACTTTTCTTTGCACTGTTTTGTCTCACATTCTCTTCAAAGAGGGTATCTCAAGCAGTTGTCACAGAAGGAAGTGTATCTACATGTGGAAGAAATGGAGAAGTTTTGACCAGAAAGATGAAAACCTGGCAAAAAGTAGAAAATTGCAACCTCTCAGAAGTTTACATAAAATGTACCAATACAGAATTGGTATTGGTGTTTCAGAAACAAAGGACTGGGCTTGGTAGCTACCCAAGCTGATGATGCAATAATTATTTGTAACATCTCTGAAAGTGACTGCATCTTGTGGGGTTAGTGCAAAGCCACATCTGCTGAGGAGTGCCTGGGCAGGGTCGCTACAACAGTGGGAACATTCTCTTCTGAGAGAGTTCAAAGCTCGACTTTGAAATATAGTACATATAAAATATACATTTAATGTGTGTTTATATGCTCTCAGCTGCTCTGCTGAAATGGCTGTAGCAGATGACAATGATTTGAAGAAAAACAGGGAACTCTGTCTGATGGGGAAATGTTCAATGCAGTGAAAATCAAGTATCACTGAAGTGTGGAAATTGGGAGTGAAATAGGATCCTCATTTGCCTTCATTCTCTCCCTTTTCAAGGCCAGGTCAACCAGAACCTGCAATTTGGATTATTATGTTTGCTCACAATAGCTAAAGGTACCTAAAAATTATTTTAGAATGATGCAGTATAGGTCTTCAGAACAAATATTTTCAGTGTTTCAGAGGAAACATTTAAGATATTTGCTTATACTTATGGTTCTGGTGGAAATATTTGTAATGTATGATGAGAAGTTCTTGTGTGTGTGTGTGTGTATTCAAGAAACTGCAGAATCTCCAACCTTTATCCATGATGCAGCCAGCAACATTTGTGCCTTTTATTGCACATTCAGATTTCAGTGTTTCGCAACATCTAGGAATTTATAAATATTTGCTGCAAATGCATGTCTAGTTTATTCCTGATATGCTAAAGAACAATCTTCTTGTTCTGAACAGCAAAATGCAACTGAAATGTACCTTTTTATCTCTGAAGATAGTTGTATTTATGGCTCTTTAAAAAGTTGCTAACTGCAAAGTCTTTTTTGTTCTTCCTAAATGCAAACAAATATGGCTAAGTGTCTCATCCAATATAAACTTTGTATGCTGAAATACTGCAGTTTGATTAACAGATCACGACACTCAAAAATAGAATAAAGACTGTTTCTTCATAAATTCCATTTATTTCTGTATGGAGACTATCCTTTTCTCTTTTTCTTTTTTTTTTTTTTTTTTTTTTTTTTTGTTTTTCATTCTTGCTTTTTTCTTTATTTTTCTTTGTCTGTTTGGCATACTATAGGGCTTGTATTAAGACATTTTGGGGACAGTTATCATGAAGTAATTGAGTAATTGGTTCTTGGGCATCAACTACCTGTAGACAGGATTTTAGTGTGCTAAAAAATATGTCCCAGGTTCTGTTAACTCAAACTGCCTCCACTCATTGCCAGCATGTAAATGAATGCAGCTTGTGCTTGACCTAGGAGCTAAGTTTAGTGTCCAGGGTAACCTAATCAAGCACTCAAGCATGTAGATGGCATATTCACAGGCACAATATGAAATTACAGCTGCAATTTGTTAGAATCTATGTCTGTGTATGTTTCACCATCTTGTTTCTAAGTGCTCCAGTGCTTTGACTTTTAGTGGATAGTTCTGGAAACTTGTTCACGTCAAAAATGCAAGATGACGAAGAATAAAAAGTGGAAAATTATGAAATCCAATGCTGCTTTTAACGAGAAATGTGGTGGATTTTTGAATGCTGGAAAATTTAAATCCTAACATTAATAGATTGGTCTGTGATGAACTACCTTTTCAAAAAGGTAAAAATGGAGGAAAACAAAAATGGATTGTATTTCTTTTTACTGTGTCTCTTGGGCTGCAAGGTGCTTAAAAGCTAAGAAGAAAGGAAAACAAAAATTAGAGGAAAGATACAGGGAAGAATAAGAGGGGGAAATTCCCCTGTGTTGATGCCCTGAATTGTCTGACAGTCCAAAGAAAAGTCATAGTTGAGACAGTTGTCATGTATTGGTCATGTCATTACACAGCTCCTGATTGGGATTGTCTTGTATGAGTCTGTAGGGGATTATGTTTGTAGTGGAGGATTCCTTAGTCTGTTCCTGTCTTTGTTCAGTCATTTTAGCTTCATAGTGATGTCTGTGCTTTTGTACTTGGAAGCTCCAGTCACAACCCAGGGGTGCCACTGCAATGTTGTCATAACCCCATCTCCATGAGGTGACAGCAGATGCAACACTTCTGTGCTCAGAAATACATTTCTGACAATTGTCATCTAGGATGGAAGATGTACATAGATGGGAGCTCAATTACCCATGGTGTCCATAGCCTGGCTGTGCAGGTTTCCATGTGGATCACCGGAATTACAAACTCATTAAAATCTTTGAATCTGCTGATACCTAAGAGCTGAACATAGGAAATTTGAAAGAGAATTGTCACATATCCAGTAAAGTTCTTGCTGGAGTCATGGTGGCTGGTGTTGCTGTGAGGAGGGTTACAGCTAGTGCAGTGTCTGTCTCCCTGTTTGTTTATTTTCTCTTTGGGAGACCTCATGTAGCTTTCCCACAGAAACAGCTCTGCTGTAAGCTAATGTGATGTATAACAAACAAACAAAAAGTCTGTGTATTCTTATCTTTGTTTTGATATACATAAAGAGAGAAGGCTTTCCAGTGTTATGGAGAACTTACTTTGCCAAGGAGCTGATGACTGCTTGGTAGGTGGTGAGGTTTAAGGCGGAAAATTATTGTGGGGTTTCTGTGTTTTGATTGAAAACATACTAAAGAAATTTGAAGAATAATGCAAATGGCTGCTAAAGTCTCCTGAAGTTCATTAAAATTTATTGCATTTTAAAGGAGGTTTTTCCTCAATTTGCATAAGGTTAAAACACAATTGAGCTAAAGTTAGCCATTGGCAGCTGTAATTTTATACCCATGTGAGCGAGTGACCTAAGCTGCAAGAGTGCAGTAGCGTAGCCAGCAAAAACAGTTCAATGTCCACAAAACAGCTTAAGTGGATCATTTTATTTATAAAACCCAATCAAAGTAGAACAGGTACAAAAGGAAAGATATTTAAAATGAGCTTTTGAAGGAAAATTATTGGAATAGAATTTTCTTTTAATTTCAGGCACTTTTTTTCTTTTTCTTTTAACTAAAGTTTAAAGCTGAGATTTTGGTGACTGTTGAAACAAATAAATAACTGTTTAGCTCTTGAGGTTTCCTGCCAGTTTAATCAATGAGCAGGGGTGTGTTTCTCCTTTTGCTTTCTAGAAAAAGATCTATCTCATAGAAAACTCCCAGTGCTTTCTGGTTCATATTGTGTAGTCATTTTAGAACAGGCCAGTCGAGTTACCAGAGAATTTTAGTAACGTCATACTTGATTGTACGTTGTTTTCTTCTGTGACAAGTAAATATTCTTTATGCTAACAACATGCATTCAATTTGTCAATTGCAGTTTCCTTTCCTTTCCTTTGCTGGATAGGAGGCTGCATCTTTGATTTTGCTGGTTTCATAAGAGTTGTAAAGAGTCCCTGTGCTGCTGTGCATGCCAGATCAGCCACCTGACACGTTTTGAGCTGAACCAAGTAAATAACTAGGGATGGTGTCTCTGAATTCTTATGAGTGTGAACTTCATATGTCTGATGCTCAAAAATAGAGGTAGCCACCAAGAGGATGACCTGCAAATGCCAATTTTTCTGTTACTAGTGGAGCCATTGTGTGCACTGAATTTTTTGGGTCTGTGGAATTTTCTTTACTGGTAACTTCCAGTAAACAATTATGGGTGTCTCTTTCATAGTAGGATACTTTTCTTTTGGGTGTTTTGTTATTGTTTGTTCTTTTTGTTTTGTTGTTGTTATTTTTAAATAACAGATAGCTTCAAGAGTTTTTACCTTGATAAGTCTTTGAACAGAGTAATGCCTCAGGATTACTCATATATTCCTTAAATCTGGTTTTAATGCACAGGAGTAAGAGGATCAAGTAAATGACATTAGGACAAAAGACAAAAGTGAACAAGATAGTAGGAGAAAAAGGGGTAAGGAGAAACCATGCTAAGAATTATTTGAATGGGTTTGGGGAAACCAGTGCTAGAACAGTAGTCAGAAGGTGAAACTGGTAGTAAAAGTGAGTTAACCTAGCTGTGCTGCTCTGAAAGAAACACATTTGTACAAAAGTACAAAGGATCCCAGGACAAAAAGGAGGTGAGAAAAAGAGTGGTGGGAAAAAAGGAAGCTATCCTTGTGGCAGCAGTAAAATCCCGAGGGCTCCCTGTCCTGACAATGTAGAGATTAAAAGTGTATTTTCTTCTAGGAACTGCAAACTTGAAAGTAAAAGAAATGAAGTAGTATTCTGTGCTCCTGCAGTAGATCAGAAGGAAATAAGAAGGCCTAGTATGGATAAAAAAAGACAGTGACCAAAATTGCTTTTGAGAGTAGATAAAGGATATGCTCTAAATTTCCCACTTTTTTTTTTGTCTCTACATAGATATTTTGCTAGAATTCTGTGAATTCCTTTTTAAGTCAAAGAAGTGCCATTCTAGGATAATGAAATAGTCTGAACAGTAAGTTATTGATGATGTTTTTAGAATCTGATGGTTGGTGAACACAATGTTACAAAATGTGGGAGAAAATTGCTAAAACCAAGTGCCCAAAGTAAGTGGCCCATGGTCACATAAGAGTAGTTCAAAGCGTAGAATTCAGGGAATCTCTTACAGATGTGCTTAACCCTATTGATTTCACTGAGACTTTAGTTAAAAGACTACTTTTCTGAACCGTAATGTGTTTTTTTTTTACTAGAACAATATAAAAATGTTAATTTGACTTGCTTCCAAACTGCCCAAATTTTTCCAGACCTATCTATCCAGGACACCTTTTTTAAAGTAAAAGCCAAGGATCTGATGATGCTGTAAAAGATAGATTTGTGAAAAGTTAACATTTTTCATCTATTTTTTTTTTGTGGGAGAAAGAAGCAGTTTTGCCAATCTGTGAACTGACTGAACTGAACTGATTCTTACAATTACACTGGTTTTGTGCCATTTGAATTGGGATCTGAGGATAGCAATATCTTGGGAAAATTACTAGCTGGGGAAGGAAGCGTTTCTAATTAGATCTAGATGTTTCAGCTTGAGTTTTGAGGAGGTCACAGGATAATGACTAGGATCCATGTGCATGCTTGTATTTCCTTGGGAATGAACATCAGTTCTTAACATCAGCTCACTAAAATACTTCCCTGCAGGTAGAAAAGGTACCAAAGGTATGGTTATACTTTGTCAAAAAGGAAGATTTGCGTGAGAGGTGGTGTGAGCAGAAAAAGGACTGGGACTTTCTTCTTTTGCCAATCAGAAAAAGAAATGCTGCCTCAAAAGAATCATTCCAAGTGCATTTTGGAGACATGAGATGTGTTCATACCTCGAAAAAAAAAACAGAAAGAGAAGAAAAACCCTAGCACCCCTCCCCACATTTTTAACGTGGATGATGAACGAATGTGCTGATGTTGAAAGTAGGGAGACAATCATTTAAACTGAGGTGTCTCTCATTCACTGAAGGCTGATGAAGTTCTCTACTTGCAGAATCAAGTGGCATTGTCCCTTTATTAGAGAAGTACATATAGAATAGAGTCTCCTCTATGGACAAGAATAGAGTGAGAGGTTAGAGTCTCTGATTTGAGTTTGGAGGTCTTTTTAAAATTCTGTCCTGTTTCAAGCATGGTCTAAATATGGGAGCTGTAGCATGAGGCTTTTGAGCTTTTGTATGGACTATGGTTGTCATTGTCCCCTCTTGCCCTTAAATCTCTGAAACAAAAGCGTACAATAAATCATGGTCAATTGAATATAGTGAATTTTGTGTCCTATTTTATTTAAAATGCAGCTGATGTGCCATTGTTGGGGGTTATGGTGACATGGAAGCTGGAGAGGCATAGCTGAGTTCTACAAACAAAAGTGTTGGTTGTTTAAGTTAAAATATTCTATTATTTCATTCAAAGTTTGAGCAGTGGGAATAAAAGATGTCATGCATTACTGCAGAAAAATATTAATACATGCTTAGAGTATCGTGATGGATGGTTTGTTAATGAAACTGGTGAGACTTTTGTGCTGTAATAAAAATGTCTAAATTCAATATATTCTTTTTAGAACTTCTGCCAAAATAATCTTCTCTTTTTCTGCTATCATAGTAAATTGCTTAAATAGAAGACACATGTATATTAGCATTCCAGCTTGAGCTGGGGGCTAACATTGTGGCAGTATTTTTGTGAAGATAAAGTAATCTTATTGAAATTTGCTGTACAAATATTCTTCATTGAAATCAAAAGCTCTAAGTTCTGATATCCTTAGCCAGGCTGACATCAGCAAAGAATTTGATTAATCTTTTTTCTTGTTTTGCTAGAATAACCCCTACACCCCTAGGAGAGGGGAAAAGCACAGTCACAATTGGTCTCGTTCAGGCGCTTACTGCACACCTTAACATTAATTCCTTTGCTTGTCTGAGACAACCTTCTCAAGGACCTACTTTTGGAGTGAAAGGTACATAATATTTGCAGAATCTATGACCTCTTTCATATTAAAAGGAAATACTGGGGTTTTTTCCTTTTCTAATTTATTTCTTCTTTTTTAATTTCTGAATTGCTTCACTCAGTGGATTGTCCCTGTAGTAGCATGTTTGATATTTTAATACATTTGTTACTAATAGATTAAGGCTTCTTGCACACAACTTCCTTTGCAAGGCTCATACCTATGTTCCTGCACTTAACATGTATTGATAATGTAGATAAAGTCTAAACATAATGAAAGTCAGAGGGATGTAATTAGCCATGAGCAATTTTGTGTGAGTACACACCCTTCCTGCCACCCCTCTTCTTGGAGACTCTTTAAATATGTTTCTAAATATTACTGTCTAATTATTCCATGGGAAAGGGCCCACATTGGGTATTTCCAAGCAATACAAGGAATTTAGCAGTTATGGTTCAGCTGTGTCAGCAGCACACGTTTGGCTAGGTCTGAACCTCTTCTCTCTGTTCTCCTGAGCTGTTGTCTCTAATTGTGGGCTGCTGCCTTTTTGCCTAGAAACCCTATAAGAACCTGAGGGCCAGGTAAGACCCAGACCAAGCCCATCTTCAATGCTGATAGGAAGTAATGCAATCTTTTTTTTACCATTTCTCAGCTGAAACTGGTGCCTAACTGGGCAGGCACTCCCCATCTGCTCTGCTTTGCTTTGCTGAAGTTTAAGTTAACAAGTTTGGTTTCAGCTGGAAGGCTCCTGGTGCTTGGTGCTTCTCAGCTAAGACTGGTGCGTGTGAGTGCTTTAATCCCTCCACTCAGCTTGTGCATAGGCAGCAGCAAATTTCTTTGCCTGCTCTGTGAGAGGTAGAGGGGAAGGAGTGCCCAGGTGAGGGTGTGAAGGTTTCATTTGGAAGCAGTGCTTGCTTGTGACTGCTTTGTCTTTCCACCCAGCAGCTGCATGTGCATGACTGTGTCCTAAATCTGGGCAGGAGCAGAGGGTAGCCCTTAGGTAGCCAGAGCCTGTACCACCCATCATGTGTACGCTTTCATTTCATAGCAAGAATTCCCTTTTTACTACCTGCTGGAAAAAAAAAATAAGCCAGCAAGATTAAAGAAATCATGTTTATTTGGGTGCGTTGCTGATCTTCTAATAGACATCAAAAAGCCAAGAATGCATCATCATTGCTGTATGTTTCACTTTGTGTTTTTAAAGGCAGTTGTTTTTTTCCAAAACTGATGTGAGCATGTGCTTCCCTGTGCAGGTGGAGCAGCTGGAGGTGGATATGCTCAAGTGATCCCCATGGAGGAGGTGAGACAGCCTCAACTTGCAGTCTGTGATACAGCTTAATGGGCATGATGGTATTCAGTTGAAGATTGGACTTGATGATCTTGGAGGTTTTTTCTGACCTTAATGATTCTGTTATATTCATAGTGCTTGTTTGGAAATGTGTGGCAGTTAGAGAGAGTCTAATTTAGAGCTCAGCAAAATCTCTCCATGGCCAGAGTTGGTGAGGAACCACTTGACCGCGCACAGCTTGTCCAAGCAGGGTTCTAATGTCAGCCCTGAAGTGCCATTAAAACTGACCTTCCAACTCCTTCTGTCAGGCACGTAAAAGATGCAGTACCTGTGTGACACAAGTCTTGATTTAAGATGCTCATTTCAGAGTTATCACAAAACTTTGTCAGACTTTGTATCAGCAAAGTTCATGCCTGTGAGGTTAGAGGCTGTTCTCCTGCAGCTAACAGAAAGCCGGCATATGGTCCCAAAGCCAGGATGTATGCTGTGCTCTGGGGCAGATTCAGCAGTAATCCACACCTCTGGTCCAGCTCAGTTAGTAGTTAGTAACACTAAAGTGATTCGGTGTTAATGATGTGGAACTTTAGCTCTTGGCTTCTTATTCTTGAATCATTTAGCAAAGAATTAAGGTGTTCTTGACTTTGTTTGGCTTCACTTAGAGTAGTTTACCATGTACTCAGATGAAAACAAGTCTTTCATATGGTCCAGTGTATTTCCGCCTGGTAATCTCTAGCCTACCCTGACAGCTGACTAATCAAAACTCCAATCTCAAAGAGATAGAAATGATTTGTGCTGCTAGTTTGTCATAGTGAATTGAATTCAATATTTTCTTACAAAAAGATCTTGTTGTTTCCCCCTTCTAGTTCAATCTTCATTTAACTGGAGATATTCATGCTATAACTGCTGCAAATAATTTGCTGGCTGCTGCTATTGATGCTAGGATCTTGCATGAGAATACTCAATCTGATAAGGTGAGAGTTATTTTCTCCTATCCAGATGGCGTTTTTAATTTTCAGTTTTTCAATAAACTGCATTTCAAAGAAAAGGATGTTGTTTATCATTTTATATTTTTACCATGTAAATAGTAACTGTTGCTGAAGCCATTTTATGTTCTGCTGGGAGATTTTCCATATACAATGTATTCTTCTGGCAAATTGCTATCATAAGGTAGTCTTTAAGATAAGGATCTCATGCCTAGAACATTGACAAGTATTTCCTACTGTACTAAATAGTGTAACAAAGCATGTTTTCCCTACCCATAATCCTACTGTTTTCAGTAATTTGAAGACTCACTTTAAAGTTACAAATTGCATTTGAGATGTGTAGTTGGGTATGATATACCTTAAGAGGAAGGAATTAAGGGGAAAATAAACTAGATCCTTGTCCCTCTGCTAAATATATTCTGACCTTAAACAAATCTTAGCTTGGGGCTTTAAAGGGAAGGGAAAAGACCAAAGGAGCCTCTTCTTTCTGTCTGCAATATTAACACTGAGCAGGGTTATCATGTTCCCTTTGCTTGGTAGATTTGTACACAATATACAAGTGTACATTTAGGCCAGTTTGGAAATTACAATTGTAGTTTAAATACTTTGGATCTTGGTTAAGGTTTTAAAAGGTTCGCAGTTTAAAAATTAATATATATTTTTTTGGTAAAACAGAGAAAACCAATAATTTCTGGCAATTCTATTTTAGACTATTAAATCATAGACATGGCTCAGAAGCCTGCCACCTTCTCAAAATTGTTTTTTAAGTCTCTAACCAGAAGTCCACAACCTATGTGGTTAGGAAATTTGTACTGAAATTAGGTGGAATAAATTAAAAAAGACATCAGCTTTTTATAACTTTTTCTTTCAACTTCTTGTGTGTTTTTTCTAGTCTTTGTATAATAGGCTCGTTCCAGTAGTGAATGGCATGAGAGGATTTTCTGCTATTCAGCTTGCCCGTCTGAGAGTAAGTTGTTAATTCTGTCTCTCCTCAATTATGGTGTCTCTTCATGAAATGTATTCTCTTACACAACTTGTTTAAAATTACTTGATGTATGGGACTGAGTTTGTATAAATCCTCATGAATATATCAAGTCCAGGCTTTTTTCTGAAAGCATCATCCTTGGAGTAATAGGATCTGGGTCTGATATTATTATTATTATAACTAACATTTTTGCTATTCTTTTCTCCTGAAATAAACCAGTAATGTTTTTAAATGCTGTGTCTCTTCTGATGAAATGTTAGAGTTTTTTAAATACTTTTCCAATTATGGTATAGTCACATTTGAAAGCTCACATTCTTTGGTTTTGCAATATTTTCTGATTTTGAAAGTTTAATATAGCATATATTTCTGGTGTTTTATTGATGTCAGTTTGATGGTGTTCTTCCTTCAAGGGGTACATTTGTATGCTCAGTATATTTTTGCATCGCATCTTGCTCCCTGAATGCTTCCAGAAGAGCTTCCCGTGCAATTCATGTGTGAATAACATGTCTGGATTTGAGAGTGCCATTCTGATAAAAACCCAGAGAGGAGCACAGTCCACTAGTGTAGGAGAAAGAGAATATGAACCCCTCAAATATGACCCTTAAGGACAGCTCCAGTTTTTCTGTGGCCAGTTCTGTGTTTGCTGTTGGCCTGTGAGTCCTGGCTGATCATCGGACAGCAATGGACAGCTGCCAAGGGCACACTTGGAATTCAGGGGTGGAAAGAAGGATAGAGGTAGTGCCAGCTTCTGTTTTGGTGGGGGGGAAAAGAGTTCTCGTAACATTTTAAGCTTTTGTGCTGCTCAGTTGAATGTCAGTAAACTAAAATGAGGATGATGCCTGCTTGACTCTAAGGCAGACTTAGGCTCAGAGATTGTTCCATTGGAATTCTGGGATATTTTCAGTTTATTCTTGTTTACACTGCTACAGATAACAGGTTAGGGAAAGAAGGGGAGCGTTTGCTTTATTCATACCATTCATATTCATTCATACCAAATGTCTCTATATTTGAATTGATTTTTCTCTTCACATGAGCTGCAACTGAGTAAATAAAAGTTTGGCTTTGTAACATTCAAATACATGAATCATAATTTCCAATATAATTGAATTATTTTGCTGTGAATTATTCTCAGTGTAATGATTCCTTATATCTAACAAGATGTCAATTGTAAAGAAATCACTATGGGATCAGGTTGCATTTTTCTCCAAACAGGATTACCAAGATTGAAACGCCTCACTTATATGTGTGGGGTTGATAAGCCAGAGCAGCTACACCATTTGAAACAAATAAGACATTTCATTGCACTTCTTGAACTTGTTTGTGTGTAGAGGCTGGGAATAAACAAGACTGATCCTGAGACTTTAACAGAAAAGGAGATCGGTAAATTTGTACGCCTTGACATTGACCCATCAACCATAACATGGCAAAGAGGTATGTAGTCACAAAGTTTCACTTCATCTTGGATTTCATCACAACTTATCTCCTAATTTACTTAATTTTACCTGAATCAGAGCTGTTTCTGTTCTGACAGCAAGAATAAGCAATTTGCAAGTGGGAAGTGTGGGTTCCTAACAAATGCAGGCACAGAATGTTGCTCCAAACTTGGTCAATTATCTGCAATAGCTCAAGAGTTGGCTAAAATTCAGAAGGATAGGTTTCTTTGACAGTTTGAATACATCCCCAGTCGCTCTCACATTAGGTAATACCTCTCCAGCCATGTGAAAGTGTCTATTCTGTGCATTTTGCAAATCTTAGCCATTCTTTTCTTAACTGTGTCTGTTATGGTTCTAGATTATTTGTATTTATTCTTCTTGATTTTGGTCCCTCATCTTCCCAAGCTCAGCAGCTTGGGTGCCTCAAGAGACTTAATAGGCTTAAGGGATTATGTGTTTTTCTGATTTTTGAGGTCTCTTGAGTTGTTTGCTTCATTTGGAAAAAGAGATGAAAGATGTGGTACTGTTGCCAAGCAAACTGATATCCCCTCTGATGCTCTTAGACAACTCTCTTCTTTTTTTTCCAGCTCTAGTGCTGGGTCAAATTTCACTGTTTACCTCAATTTCTATACCTACATTTTTCTTCTTTAGGGAAGTACACTCTGCATAAAGATTTGAGCTAAATACCACTGGATTTTATTTTCTTTCTTAGTTCTCAAACACTAAAGTTATCCCTGTTAAATGGAATGTATTGTGATGCTTAGAAAAAAGGGTGAATCCACTGAGAAGGGAGGAGTCTTGGCCATGTTTACCGTGCCCTTTGTATGCATGTCATCTCAGACTTGGGATATTTTTCTCAAGATAATTCTGGGGATGTGGCATAAAATGTTTTTTATTAGTCACACAGTGTGTCTGGAAGAGACCTGTATTAGGATAAAGAAGTAATAGAAATGTTTAGTGTAATATGACTCCTCTTTTTTATCAGCATGGGTTTGGGAGGAGGCAACATTGCTCAACAGCTGTTAACCTCAAGGGAGTTTTTTAATTAATCTCAAACAATGTTAGTGAAATTTCTATTCAACACAGCTCTATATGATGTACATACCTTAAACATTTTAGGGAAAAAACCCTGGCTTTAGGAATGGTTTAGATAACTTGGAGGCTGTTTTATTTAGGACTGTTTCTGCAGTCCATATGTCTATGAAGCTTGTTACATACCAGGGCATTTGTAGGGAAAAAGAGCTAAGCTATCAGATCTTCTGAAAATTAATTGTAGTCTGGACCTGTTTCCATAGAAGTATCACAAACTTTCAGTTCACTGTCAGCTTACACTAACTTGAAAATGTACAGTATACTGAAAAGTGGGAAAGCTTTCCCGTTTTTCTTTCCCTGATAGTCAGATTCTGTTTACATCTCTAGAGGATAAGGAAGTGGATACATTAAACCTAACATTTATTTGAACCTAAACCTAAAAGGAAGGTTTACTTTGGGTAAAGGAGGAAGGAAGATTTGGAGAAGGAAAAATTTATGGCAAAACCAGTTATTTCTTATTTTATTACTACTTAGTGCATCTATTGGAATCTTCTTGGACAGTGAGTGACCACAATGAGAAAGTATATCTCAGTCAGCAGGAGTTGCAGGAGCAGTTACAGTTTCATGGTGAGGGTGTTTAGGTTACATGATTTCACATGTCCAGATAAAAAAGCAGCTCACTGGCTGTGCAGGCTGGTGGGAAGGCAAGCTCCTGCCCTCAGGAGTGCCTGCACAGACAGGAGAGATTCAGGTCTGCTGAAGCCGTGTTGTGAGACTGAGCTTCCGAGGAAGAGAAGGGAGAAGTTTGTGCTGGAGAGATCAGCTTGCCATATGGCTTCATAGTGCCATGTGGCAGCACAGCTTGGTGCAAGACTACAGCTTCCATGTTCCAGGCTCTGCTCTGCAATTTCTGCCAATGGTGTAGTATTTTAGAGTATGACTGTATATATATAGAAACCAAAACCTGGAGTTGTGGAACATGAACATTCAGAGTCACTCTTGTTCTTGGGTAATTATGTCATCTTTTTCTGTACAGACAGAATTTTTTTTTAATCACCAAAAGCAGCAGGAAAAGTGGAAGGAGCTCACTTACCTTGAGTACTGACAGCTTCTCTGGAGGTTCCTGGACTCTCTGCTTATAAATGAACAAGACTCAAATCTCCCAGAAGATTGAGTTCATTGCCAAGCTACAGGCTGAACTTATCAAGAGTCCTCTTGCACCTTTTATTTTAGGGTTGGTGCAAACTTGAGCATTTCTAGGACTACAGAGCCTGTAAACTTGAGCATTTCTAGGACTACAGAGCCTGTAAGAAAAAGAGAGTCTATTTTTTCATTCTGTAGGAATTGACGTGTCCCCTTGTCTTATCACTACACACTCTTGTAAAAAGTCCCTCTTTGGACCCTTTAGGTACTGGAAGATGCTATAATGTCTCGCAAAAACCTTCTTTTCACTAGGCTGAACAGCTCCAGCTCTCTTAGCCTGTCTTCATAACAGAGGTGCTCCAGTCCCCTGATCATCCTCATGCTGTGCAGCTGAATGTGGTTTGTTAGTTTCTGTGACGCATGTGAAAGATACTTGTCTGGAAAATCCAATCTGACATCATAATCATCCTTTAAAAGAGGAACTGACCAAGTCCAACCAACATCATGCAGTCTTAAAATCAATTCTTAACAAGTCAGTGATGAAGAAGATGGTTTGAAGTAGACGTGGTACTTTGTGTCTACTAAGACTGCTTTTTTCTTATGTAGGTAAAATACTAAATTTTGTGTTAGAATACTAAGAATCTGTCAGCTTCAAATGCTGTTCAAATAAAGTGTATTTGAGTTGTTTCAACCTGTCATCAAATGGTACCAACTAGAAGGGAGCAACCAAGCCAGTGCCGGTGCTGATATGCAGAAATGTGGCTGTCTGGTTACCCTGTTGGAGCAGTTGAATCTTATATATGTAACAACAGGTTTGTCTGGAAAAACCCATATTCCAGAGTCCTTGTTAACATGTTTGCTTTTGCCATTCCCTTATTTCAGTGGTGGATACAAATGACAGGTTCCTGCGCAAAATAACAGTTGGGCAGGCAAATACGGAGAAAGGATTTGTCCGTCAGGTATGTAAAAGCAGTTAATAAATCATGTTCTGGACAGACTTTGCATTAGAGTCTGAGAGAGTTTTTTCAATTTGAATTGCCATATTGATGTCTGTTGCTGCTGTATAGTGATCTTGCAGTGAAACTGATGGTGTTAATGAGTGACTGAATCTGAATTTCAGAAATAGAAACCAATGCATATTCTACAATGTGTAGAAAGCACTGAAAAAATTTAATGTGTCAGGAGTTTAACATTGTCCTGTGACAAGATGCCGTTATGCCCTCATAAAGTTAATTTGTATGACTTTTAATTTTTTTTAATTTCTGTAACGATTTATGTAGGATACAAGTAATTCAAATTACATTTAAATTTAATTTCAAAAATTGTTTAAAAACAATCTTTGTATTCAGAGTCCTCATTTCCCTGTCATGCATCTCAACTTTGGAATCTGAACTGTAAGAACTTTGAGCATGTGCTTGCTTTTACTATGTGGGCTTGAAGGGATAGTTCAGAAAATAAGTATGTACATACTTTTCAGTGTAATGAAAAGCTAACCTGCATTACTATATGAGAGATTGTGGAAGTTTGTTAAGGAATTTACTGAAAAATTGAAAGCCAGACTTCTTCAACACCACCTGAACAAGTGTTCCTGGTGTAATGTAGGTAAATTAATTTCTGAAACAACACAGCACGGAACAGCAGTGTCAGGAGGAGTAAATCTGTTTTGGTGATGTGGAGTTGCTCCTAATTTGGTGAAGATCTTGTAATCTAACATTCTGGATCATGAAATTCATGAGGTTCTGACTATTTTGATGTGAACAGCTCTTGCAACAGAGATAAGGCTTTCACATTTTTGGAAATCCTAGCTGCAATTTTTCTTTATGATTTCTTTAACATTTTTAACATATGCCTAAATAAATAGACCTAAACATATTGCTGTATTTTTTGCAGCAGGTAAAGCAAAGTCAAAGAGAAATCATAAAATCCTAGAGCAGTTTGGGTTGGAAGGGATCTTAAAGATCATCTAGTTCCAACCCCTCTGCCCTAAGCAGGGACTCCTTCCATAGAAATGCTCATTTATTTTGGTTTTGAATGCACAAAATAGAAATTTTTGTCTGCAGCTCAAAGGAAATTTAATATTAGCTAATAGTCATTTCTGATAAAGGGCTGGGGCTACAAAAAATTATATTTGGTATGAGTTCCTTCAACACTTGAGGCCTTTTCATATTTTTAGATTTGTTCAGTGACTCAATATGATTATTGGTTTTAAGCTGGGTTCTGCCAGGCTTATTGTGTAGTGTTTTACCACTGTAAAATATTGTACTGCTGAGTTAAATGTGGCTTATTTTATTATAGAGTAGTACTTGACAATATTGCTGTCAAATGTTGCTTCTGTACATTTTTGGGTAAAATTAATGTTTTCAGCATCGAGATGTTGGACTGATGCATATCCATTCACATTTTAACCTGGACTTAGTGACTCAAGAAATAGAGTTAGCAGTTAGGAAAACTCATTTCAGAGCCTAGCCAGAGATCCAGAGAAAACAGGACTTCATAGTTAACAGATGCATTTTATAAATATTTGGAGTGATGTTCTAGCACTCTTAAAATCAATGACACCTGTGTAAAATGGCAAAGCACAGCAGGCACAAAAGTCTGCATTTTAATGAACAGGGATGCTGTGGTTTCTGAAGAGTATTACATGACTGATGCCCTTGATCCTGCAATTGAATCCATGTGGGTGGATCCTTTCATCAATAGAAAACTGACTTTGCAGCTAAGACTTCTGTCAGCACTTCATAGGTGTATAAAGGTTATTAGAGTTAAAATAGCACCTGCTACTACAGTCTTTTGAGCCTGTTTCTTCAATTAAATTTTATGTCACTCTTTGAGCATCTACCTGGGACTGTTTTTCACATCCTTTTGGGTTTATATAGAAACAGTGATAAAAAGTTGGGTTTTTTTCTGGTAAATTAGAAGTATTTTACATAAGGGTTGGACATAGATTTCTCAGGCTTATTTCTTGTCCTACATATGCTGCAACGACTTACTGAGGACATTCTCAAATTCATCTGCTTCCAAAGAGGACAGAAAATCTGTTTTGTAATTTCACCATTTCACTTGAATCTCTATGCTGAAAATCTCAGTTGCAGAATTATTTTTTTATTATTACTTTTCCTTGGTATGTAGGACTCTCTGCCTGTGTTCACAGCAGAAAAGTACTTAGGTGTCTTCAGCAGTTTTGACTAAACAAGTGGGCACGTAGAGGTCAGCCTGAATATGGCTGTGGCTGTCAAAAACTAAAAGCAGGAACATGGGTTAAAAAAGGGCAGAAGCTCTTAAAGTACCAGGCAAGTGCACAAGAGTGGTGGAGTGTATGTTCTCTGTAGATGATTCTTAAAAACAGTCAAAGCTCTCAATATGAACAGATTCCTCAAGTATTAGTATGGGATACATCTGCCAGAGGTCTGAGAGAAGCAGTCCTGGGCTTTTTTTCTTACATAGATAGCAGTAGGATGTCAGTTACTAAACCTTATGTAGACTTTAATTGTTGGAGATAGAGAGATTACTAAAGAAATTGCAGTTCTTGATCACTGCCAACATTGCATTCTTGTAACATAATACATTAGTGGCTTTTCTTTTCTTATCTGTTTATGTTCTGACAGCATGTGGCCCGAGCTTTACTAACAGTGAATTAGTACAAATACTACTAATCCATACTCTTAAAGAAAAGTAAAAACTAATGCTTACATTGTGCTGAAATGCTTCACAGTATGGATGTGTTTCTACCCATGATGATACATATAGTTCTTTGTGCTTTTTGACTTGCGTATTTGTTCATTTAATTAAAAAAAAAAGGGGGGGGAAGAAATATATTTTATATTTTCATAGGTCAAGCACAAGACTTAACAGCATAGACTCTAAATGTTGAGCTAAAGTAGAAAAAGAATGATCAAATGTAACAAGAATGTTTTTTGAAACCAGAATAAAAAGCTGTTGGAGGTCATTATAGAAAAAAAAAAACTAAAAACCCTCCACAATGCAGTATTCCTTTTCTCAGGCCAGTAAAACTCAAAAGACATCTGGTGATTTTCAGTTTCTGCCACAGAAGAAAAATTCTTGATCCTTCAGGGAGCTTCTCTGAGGACAATGTGAGCCAAGGAGCTAAGTCTGCAACACTGGTCCTCAAATAAATGTAGTGTAATGGAGAATATTAATTGTTCAAGTCTGAGGCACAAAGTGTGCCCTTGTCTCTGATACCTAGCTCTGACATCCAAAAAAAACCCATTGAATTTCATATAACATCATAAAAACAATTATTAAAGTTAAATGAAAAAACTAAAAGTGTGTAGATTAGAGAGTTTTCTTAAGTCACTAGGTGAAAAAGTTAAGAATGTAGAGTTTAAGCTAGTTTAGAAAACAAAAGACAAGATAGAAAATTTAGGGTGTTGTCTCTTTTACTTCTTCTTTCGTCTTAATTTTCTTCTTTTAGAGATTTTTCAGTAGTAATAAGTGATTAAATAGAAAATGCCACAGTGCAGCACACAGGTGTTGGGTCATTAGGTCACTGAAAAAAATGTTAATTGACTAAAAATAAGTATAAAGATAAAAGAACTGTGTATTTCATGGCCATTTTGTGCTATTAAAGCCAACTTGAACCAAAGCTGTGGTAGATTGAACTTGTGCAGAAAGTCTGGGAAAGACCTGCCAAGTCTTTTGATAATATATATTAATAAACATGAGAAACAAGAAACAAATGAACCTTTAGAGATTCTTTCCTGAAACAGAACTGAAATAAAAGAGACTCCCCGTGAGGGAGTATCCCAGAAAAAACACAGCCCTGAGAAGAAACTGAAATCCCACAACAACAAGTAGTAGTAGTAGTAGTAATGCAACATTAATGAGGGATTATAAGGTGTTTGAAGTTCACAGAATCATACAATATCATGAGGTTAAAGGGATACATCAAAGTCTGACTCTTGGCCCTGTGCAGGACCATCCCCAAGAGTCACACCCTACACCTGAGAGCATTGTCTGAATGCTTCTTGAACTCTCTCAGCCTTGATTCTGTGATCACTTCCCTGGAACACTGTGCCCAACCACCCTCTGGGTGAAGAACCTTTTCCTAATATCCAATCTAAATCTCCCCTGACACAACCTCAGGCTATTTTCTTGGGTCCTGTCACGAGAGAAGAGATCAGCGCCTGCCCCTTCTCTCCCTCATGAAGAAAGTGTAGACTGCACTGAGGTCTCCTCCAGGCTGAACAGACCAGGTGACCTTAAGCTGCTTCTCATACAACTTCCCCTCAAGGTTGTCACCATTTTTGTAGCCCTTCTTTGGATGCTTTCCAATATTTTTATGTTTTTCTTGTATCATGGCACCAAAACTGCCCCAGCACTGGAGGTGAGGCCACCCCAGCTCAGAGCAGAGCAGGACAATCCCCTCCCTTGTCCAGCTGGCCATGCTGTGCCTGA